GCAAATCATATATTTATTTCAAAAAATATTCTTTATACCTACAATGTATGTTTATGTACATGCAAAACCGCAGGAGCCAATATAGCACAACACAACACAATTACCTATGTACATTTTTTGTCATTACCCGAGTTTACTCTTATGACTTGCAGTGAATTGAATCGGCCAGGGATGCATAGTCCGGAAAATTGGTGGTAACTCGCTGACAAGTTTGTCGTGGTTTAGCTTTCCTGCACTGAGCGCGGTTGTTTGCGCATGTGCAGTCACCTAAGTGTCAGTAAAACATTACTGAGTAAAACACAGATGTCATTTGACTGTGGTGCCATGTCCATGTGCCATGCCTGGTTTATTTAAATCCAAATATTTCCCCTCCTCCGTTTATAAAATAATTTGCATCCACACATCTGCGTTATCAATCACATTCCAAACATGTGCGTGTCTTACGTCCTGTCCTGCGTTGGGGAAAAACACAGAAGTGGGCGGAGCTTTGATGCAGACGCCGGTAACAGCACTTTTACAGTCATAGAAGACACTCGGAGTAAAGACGTATGTTTACAAGCACTGACCCCGTCCTCAGCCCTGATTTAGCCCTGGTTTAGTCCTGGTTTAGCCCTGGTTTAGCCCTGGTTTAGTCCTGGTTTAGTCCTGGTTTAGTCCTGGTTTGGTTGTTTTCAAGCGTGAGTCCCCGCGATCACTTTGCTGCTCTCTGATGTGGAGGATGTTCGCTGCTGCGAGCATCTCACAGCGGACAGTTTTTAAGGTAGTAAGATCCATGCTTCAGTGATCAGAGGAATTTAGGGGGGTACTGTGGCGTGCGAGAACGCAAAACTCCGGTTATCTCTGTCTACACACAAATGCATTAACGGAGTTTTCAAAAATCTCCACTTTGCCCGGAGTTTTTTGTATATATTAGTTTAGAATGTGTAATGTTTTATTTATTTAATGCGATCTACCAATACTACCTTTGCGATCGACTGGTAGATCGCGATCGACGTATTGAGCACCCCTGCTGTAGACCCATCAGGACTGAGGCTGCAGGACTGAGGCTGTAGACCAAGGACAGACCCCCTCCAGACATTCACACACACATCAGGATCAAACGAGCCGTTGTGGGTGGCACCTGGTGTTCTCAGAGGTCTCCCATCACAGTACTATCCAGGCCATGTCCTGCTTAGCATCTGAGGCCTGATAGGACCAGGCGTTCACAGGCAGGTGGCGCCACAGAGACATAATGCAGAATACTTCACTGGTTCTATCTGTTTTGGTTCAGCGCTAACTGATGCTAATGAGTCGTTCTGACCAATGTTGTTGTGTCCCTGAGCAAGACACCTCACCCCACATCCACATGGAGGACGGAGAGGGTTGGGTGAGAAGGCAGGCTGTGATTGGCTGAAAGAGAAGGTTCAGTGAGAAGGCAGGCTGTGATTGGCTGAAAGAGAAGGTTCAGTGAGAAGGCAGGCTGTGATTGGCTGAAACAGAGGGTTCAGTGAGGAGGCAGGCTGTGATTGGCTGAAACAGAGGGTTCAGTGAGAAGGCAGCTGTGATTGGCTGAAACAGAGGGTTCAGTGAGAAGGCAGCTGTGATTGGCTGAAACAGAGGGTTCAGTGAGAAGGCAGCTGTGATTGGCTGAAAGAGAAGGTTCAGTGAGAAGGCAGGCTGTGATTGGCTGAAAGAGAAGGTTCACTGAGAAGGCAGCTGTGATTGGCTGAAAGAGAAGGTTCAGTGAGAAGGCAGGCTGTGATTGGCTGAAAGAGAAGATTCAGTGAGGAGGCAGGCTGTGATTGGCTGAAACAGAGGGTTCAGTGAGAAGGCAGGCTGTGATTGGCTGAAACAGAGGGTTCAGTGAGAAGGCAGGCTGTGATTGGCTGAAAGAGAAGATTCAGTGAGAAGGCAGGCTGTGATTGGCTGAAAGAGAAGGTTCAGTGAGAAGGCAGGCTGTGATTGGCTGAAAGAGAAGATTCAGTGAGAAGGCAGGCTGTGATTGGCTGAAAGAGAAGGTTCAGTGAGAAGGCAGGCTGTGATTGGCTGAAAGAGAAGATTCAGTGAGGAGGCAGGCTGTGATTGGCTGAAACAGAGGGTTCAGTGAGAAGGCAGGCTGTGATTGGCTGAAACAGAGGGTTCAGTGAGAAGGCAGGCTGTGATTGGCTGAAAGAGAAGATTCAGTGAGAAGGCAGGCTGTGATTGGCTGAAAGAGAAGGTTCAGTGAGAAGGCAGGCTGTGATTGGCTGAAAGAGAAGATTCAGTGAGAAGGCAGGCTGTGATTGGCTGAAAGAGAAGGTTCAGTGAGAAGGCAGGCTGTGATTGGCTGAAAGAGAAGGTTCAGTGAGAAGGCAGGCTGTGATTGGCTGAAAGAGAAGATTCAGTGAGAAGGCAGGCTGTGATTGGCTGAAAGAGAAGGTTCAGTGAGAAGGCAGGCTGTGATTGTCTGAAACAGAGGGTTCAGTGAGAAGGCAGGCTGTGATTGGCTGAAACAGAGGGTTCAGTGAGAAGGCAGGCTGTGATTGGCTGAAAGAACAAATGAGTCTGGTTTGAATGTGACCGTTTCATTGAGTTCATATTATTCTTGTCTCCCTCTCCCTCACCCTCTCTCTCTCTCCCTCACCCTCTCACTCTCCTTCACCCTCCCTCACCCTCAGGAGGAGGGGGTAGAAGAGGAACCAGGAAATATAGTAATACAATTGCTCATGTCGCTGCTAAAGCAGGTTGAGGCTGTAGACGCACACACACACACACACACACACACACACAGAGACACACACACACACACACACACACACCCACACACACACACACACACACACACACACACACACACACACACACACACACACACACACACACACACACACACACACACACACACACACACACACACACACACACTTCTCTCTCCCCCTTCTCTCCCCCTCTCTCCCTGTCTCTGGTATAGACCTGGGTTAGACCCATAGACTGTATATATTAACGGACAGAGTCACGCCGTTCTAACTAATGGGCCAAAAAATGTGCTCTACTGGAGCAATCCAAAATGGCCGCGACTGGTCCCGCCCACAAGAAAATTGTGAAAAAACGCATCTGTGCATGCGTCAGCCGTCGCAGCTCCATTTATTTGAACGAGAGACTTCAAAAATTCACAGCAAGTAAACTAGAGTGGACCACCCCCCTCAGCATTGACACACATGTGGAACGGAGCTGCCAACGCTATATGTTAGCATTGGCTAATTCTACTTCTGGGTCCACCCCCACAGGCCCGGGGTGGTACTGCAGCATGTCAGCGCACGTCATTTTGGCCACTTTTGAGCTGGGACCCTCCCCCACTGGTTAGACCTGGTCTAGACCTTGGACATCAAAATGTGCTTTACAAAAGAACAGGTTAATAAGAAATAATAATTAAAGCCGCAAGCCGCGTCTAACGGCCCTCGATGGGAGAAACCTTGATGGGAGAAACCTCGATGGGAGAAACCTCGATGGGAGAAACCTTGATGGGAGAAACCTCGATGGGAGAAACCTTGATGGGAGAAACCTCGATGGGAGAAACCTCGATGGGAGAAACTTCGATGGGAGAAACCTCGATGGGAGAAACCTCGATGGGAGAAACTCTCAGACTGTGAATCCAAACATCATAAATCTGTAACTTCTGGTTCTTCTGTTGTGTTACGACAAGACTGGTTTGTTAAACGTATATTGGAGGATTTTTTACTTCCGGGTGGATCATCAGCACTATTGGTCCTCCCAACTGTCAATCATTCTGGTGATACGTGCTCGTCCAATCAGAGCAGAGAGATTTGTTCAGAAAGTGGAGAGGGCGGTTCTTTCCTAAAGTTTGGGAAAATCTTCCTGTAAATTTTTTAATGTGCGAAGTGTACACGTACTTCTTTGGCTCAGTCTGTAGGGGGCGCTACTGCTGTATTTGCATGTTATTCACTCGACCAAATGATTCACGTTTGGTGCTAATCGATCTGTGTTTGTGTAAGAGGGAGAAAATATTAAATTCCCAAAGTCCAGCAAACAAAATCCTCCCCATGTACTTCTTTGGCTCAGTCTGTAGGGGGCGCTACAGGGCAGAATATTATTAATAATACTAATAATAAAATAGGTCAAAATAATAATTATGTTGATAATTTACATTTTTCCATTGACTCCAGAAGTGTTTGAATCCAGCTCCTGCCAAAGTCTGTTTTGGCTAAAGATGCTAAAGCTAAAGATGCTAAAGCTAAAGATGCTAAAGCTAGAGATGCTAAAGCTAAAGATGCTAAAGCTAAAGATGCTAAAGCTAAAGATGCTAAAGCTAGAGATGCTAAAGCTAGAGATGCTAAAGCTAAAGATGCTAAAGCTAAAGATGCTAAAGCTAAAGATGCTAAAGCTAGAGATGCTAAAGCTAAAGATGCTAAAGCTAAAGATGCTAAAGCTAAAGATGCTAAAGCTAAAGATGCTAATCAGTGTAGTCTGAAGATTCATTGGAATCAAAACAAAACATGAATCAGAACATCATATAATCAATAATGTAATACTTGGATTAAATGTTTTGAGCTGCTAAAACTAATTAAACATTTCGAAAAACTGAAAACATTTTATTTTTGTGACAAAGACAGATCTGCTTCAAAGTGTTCATTTGATTCTCTTTTAAAACATTCCCCTCCCCCTCCTGAGCTTTGGGGTCTGCTCTTTGCATGTTCATGTAGGTTTCCTCCTGGTGCTCCGGTTTCCCCAACACTGAAACACGTCTATAGTATAGGAGAGTGAATCCAGAGTCAGACGTCTGAGAGAAACATGTCTGACCTGGGTCTGGGAAACGTTAGCCCGGACACTACGGCCCATTATCATTTCGTAACGTCTGGGTCTGGTCCCAGTGTTTGTGATTACAATCAGTTGAACTCCATCCGGCCAATCAGAGAGCGCGGGAGGCGGGTGTTGTAGTTAGATGTGGGTGACGTTAAGAGTTTGTGCCGAACGGGCAGGTGAAGAATGTGATAGTAAAATAATCTGTTCTGGTTTTATCAAGAAACTGAAGCCGGAGCAAGAGGAATGTTTAGCAAATGTAATCGTTGCCAAGATTGTGGTGCTACATGCTAAAGCTAGGCTAAATGCTAAAGCTAGGCTAAATGCTATCGACTCACGGGGGCTCATTACATACGTCACGGTAAACTCAGATCCAATGGTTTCAATCTGAAGCCGTTAGCCCCTCCCACCTGTTCACGGGGTCAATGACATGAGTACGATGGTGTGGTAAGACCAGGCTGGAAAACCTGCTGTATGAATAAAGACATACCATCTCAGTGATGATGATGATGACGATGATGATGATGAAGAGGATGAAGATGATGAAGCTGTAAACTCTTGGTCACTCTGGTGGATGTTGACGCCTCAGGCCTGAAGAAAATCACACCTTTTGTTTCTTCTGTTTTCTCCAGATCTCATCAGACAGCGGCCCCTGTGGTCCCAGCCCCTGAGGTCCCGGCCCCTGTGATACCTGCCCCTGTGGTACCTGTCCCTGTGATACCTGCCCCTGTGGTACCTGTCCCTGTGATACCTGCCCCTGTGATCCCTGTCCCTGTGTGTTATGGCTTTTTATTCCTATGTGAGTGTGAGTAAATGTCCTGTAGGAGTAGAAGCCGTGACACACGAGGAACAGAAACCTCCAGAGGAAGAAAAACACAACGTTACACATTTATGATCATTGTGTGTCTGTGTGTGAGTGTGTGTGTGTGTGCGTGTGTCTGTCTGTGTGCGTTTGTTTTTGCTACATCGTGGGGACCTCAACCTGACTGCACACAGACTAGTGGGGACCTGTGTCCCCGTGGGGACCAAAAATGAGGTCCCCACGGGCAAAGCACCATTACAGGCTTCACAACACCCTCTAATGGTGCCTGGAGGTATTTTCTAACAAGTCCCCTTTGGGCCCATTTTCATGACAAAATGTCAGGTGTGTATATTTCCCTGCGCCCCTGGAGGTCACACACATTATTGCAGTCCTCACCAGGTTAGGTGTTCTTGTTGTGTGTGTGGACTCAGTATCGGCCCCTAAAGGTCAATATAAGTATTGCAGTCCCCACCAAGTTTTGTTGTTTTTGTTGCGTGTGTTCACTCTACAGCAGGGGTGTCAAACTCATTTTGGTCCGGGGGCCACATACAACCTAATCTGATCTCAAGTGGGCCGGACCAGTAGATGCTCTTCAAAAATATCCAAAAACGGTACAAAGTCCAACTTTTTGTGCACATAAACACATTTATTTAAAACTTCCTTTAAAACACTATCCTTTAATACTCAGTTTTCTGTTACAAACTTAAATGTAACAGTGAGTTTTCCATAGTGCAAATAATGTAACGTATTTACAATATTACATTGTAAATGGTATTTCACAATATGTATATTAATATTTGTATGTTAGCTTTGTTTTAAGGCTCATTACAGAGAAAACCTGCTCACAAAGGTAAAGTAGATAGAAAAAAGCACTAAAACACACGCGGCACGGTGGCTGAGTGGATAGCACTCTCGCCTCTCAGCAAGAAGGTCCTGGGTTCGAATCCCGGTCGGACCAGGGCCTTTCTGAGTGGAGTTTGCATGTTCTCCCCGTGTCTGCGTAGGTTTCCTCCGGGTACTCCGGTTTCCCCTACCACTAAAAATATGTACAATAGTTCTGGCATGCGCTTCCTGTACTGGCCCCTCCCATCTCTGTGTGGAGTGAGAGACAAATGCACAAAAATTAACAATTGTAAACCGCTTTGAGACTCAGATCTGCAGTGAAAAGGCGGTATATAAATAAATACTTACTACTACTACTACTTACACAGCACCTCAGCTTAACCATCTTCAGTGTGTAAGGTCCATGGTTATGTTATTATCACATTAACCATCTTCAGTGTGTAAGGTCCATGGTTATGTTATTATCACATTAACCATCTTCAGTGTGGTAAGGTCCATGGTTATGTTATTATCACATTAACCATCTTCAGTGTGGTAAGGTCCATGGTTATGTTATTATCACATTAACCATCTTCAGTGTGGTAAGGTCCATGGTTATGTTATTATCACATTAAGCATCTTCAGTGTGTAAGGTCCATGGTTATGTTATTATCACATTAACCATCTTCTGTATGTAAGTAAGTTAGTAAGTTATTATTTATATACCGCCTTTTCACTGCAGATTTGAGTCTCAAAGCGGTTTACAATTGTTAATTTTGGGCATTTGTCTGTACTGGCAGGGTCGCCAGTACAGGAAGCGCATGCCAGAACTATTGGACATATTTTTAGTGGTAGGGGAAACCGGAGTACCCGGAGGAAACCTACGCAGACACGGGGAGAACATGCAAACTCCACTCAGAAAGGCCCTGGTCCGGCCGGGATTCGAACCCAGGACCTTCTTGCTGAGAGGCGAGAGTGCTATCCACTCAGCCACCGTGCCGCCCATGTATGGTAAGGTCCATGGTTATGTTATTATCACAGAGAAAGCATCAAACTGACCATGATTCCGTTGAAATGAATAAAACAACTTCCATAACGTGATCCATTCTTAACGACTGCAGCAGTGTCTCTGTGTAAAATACAGTCAAATGTCCAAAAATCATCACCTCCATTTGCAGCTTTGTCACTACACCTGTTTTTACCAGTCCACACTGTCCAACACACCAGCAACAACAGCAGAACCAGCAGCAGCAACAACAGCAGAACCAGCAGCAGCAACAACAGCAGAACCAGCAGCAGCAACAACAGCAGAACCAGCAGCAGCAACAACAGCAGAACCAGCAGCAGCAACAACAGCAGAACCAGCAGCAGCAACAACAGCAGAACCAGCAGCAGCAACAACAGCAGAACCAGCAGCAGCAACAACAGCAGAACCAGCAGCAGCAACAACAGCAGAACCAGCAGCAGCAACAACAGCAGAACCAGCAGCAGCAACAACAGCAGAACCAGCAGCAGCAACAACAGCAGAACCAGCAGCAGCAACAACAGCAGAACCAGCAGCAGCAACAACAGCAGAACCAGCAGCAGCAACAACAGCAGAACCAGCAGCAGCAACAACAGCAGAACCAGCAGCAGCAACAACAGCAGAACCAGCAGCAGCAACAACAGCAGAACCAGCAGCAGCAACAACAGCAGAACCAGCAGCAGCAACAACAGCAGAACCAGCAGCAGCAACAACAGCAGAACCAGCAGCAGCAACAACAGCAGAACCAGCAGCAGCAACAACAGCAGAACCAGCAGCAGCAACAACAGCAGAACCAGCAGCAGCAACAACAGCAGAACCAGCAGCAGCAACAACAGCAGAACCAGCAGCAGCAACAACAGCAGAACCAGCAGCAGCAACAACAGCAGAACCAGCAGCAGCAACAACAGCAGAACCAGCAGCAGCAACAACAGCAGAACCAGCAGCAGCAACAACAGCAGAACCAGCAGCAGCAACAACAGCAGAACCAGCAGCAGAAACAACAGCAGAACCAGCAGCAGCAACAACAGCAGAACCAGCAGCAGCAACAACAGCAGAACCAGCAGCAGCAACAACAGCAGAACCAGCAGCAGCAACAACAGCAGAACCAGCAGCAGCAACAACAGCAGAACCAGCAGCAGCAACAACAGCAGAACCAGCAGCAGCAACAACAGCAGAAC